ACATGTCCATGAGTCAAATCCTTCTGGGAGGATTTTAACTACTTTGTTGATATGATATTCGGAAAACATATTTAAATAACAAACCATGACATTCTTTTTTCTTCTTGTGTTGACAGTTTATTAACTCATATGATCATCCTAGCCAAACGACATATATTTGTTATGAACATATAAGGGCACAAACCATGCATTAATTCATTTTAAGTTACACTAAAAGACGTCTTCACTGTAGAAAAATAGATTGCTTTGAAAATTGATAGAATCAGTCTTTTCAACAGAAAATGGAATGTACTACAAAACATTATTTAACTATTTTGCCCATGTATTAACGTTCACATCTATTGCTGTTTGTATATGTTTAGATCAGCTGTCTTAACTGATCACCTGTTACTACCAGTGTCAATGTTTATCTTGATATACGTTCCGATTCATCAGCTGGAATTGTTACTGATCTGATTTATGCTGCATCTTATTTTGAATGTACTCTAATTATGAGTCAAAAAAGAAACTTCACAAAATGTAATTTGAAAAATAATGAATAATTTTTCTCTGATGATACATCTATGTATCCGAAATGGGATCCCTATCTTTCGACTCTAGAAAAACGTTAGCAAAACCCACTCAAACCCATCCTTTCCTCGTGCAAATGACGTTAGTGCCAAATCAGGTCTTGCACGTGCAGTCGATCACGTGATCTTCGCATCGAAGTTTTCTTCATATGCACGTGTTTGCATTGGCCTCAAGAACTTTTAAACCACAGTTCTAACGGTACTTGAAATGCCACGATTGTCAAATGTGCAACGTGAACGTGCCGTTGGCATGTTGCAAGCGGGAAGATCAGTTATTGACGTCGCAAGTGCAATGGGATGCAGCCGTCGTACTGTGTATGACTTGCGAGGTCGTCTACAACAAACTGGCACCACTTCTGATCGCCCAAGGTCGGATCATCCACGTGTGACGTCACGAGCAGAAGACCGTCAAATCGTCCTACGTCACCTACGTGACAGATTTCTGCCGGCTACAAGAACCAGGGCTGAGATGTTTAGAGGTCGACTGTCCTCACAGACCATTCGAAATCGGTTGCGGGCTGCCAATCTCTATTCTCGACGTCCATATCGTGGGCCAATATTGACGCCGTTTCATCAACGTCAACGTCTGCTGTGGGCCCAACGTCACCTCCGATGGACCCAGAGAGACTGGAATCGAGTCGTCTTTAGCGATGAATCCAGGTTTACCCTCAGATTCGCGGACGGCAGACATAGAGTCTGGAGACGACGTCGTGAACGGTATGCCCAATGTTGTGTACAGGAAGTCGACAGATTCGGGGGCGGAAGTTGCATGCTGTGGGGTGCTTTCTGTGGGAACAACCGTTCCCGACTTCTGGTCATCCGTGGAAACCTCACAGCTGCTGCTTACCGCGACCAGGTGCTCACCCCTGAACTCGTTCCTTTCATGGCGGCTCATGGCCAGGGTCTACAGTTCCAGCATGATAATGCTCGGCCGCATACCGCGATGTTGATACGAAATTTCCTTCAAAACGCTGGAATCAACGTCATGGACTGGCCATCGAGGTCCCCTGGCCTTAATCCAAAAAAGCACGTTTGGGATGCACTTGGGAGAAGGATTCGTTGTCTTAGGAACCAACCTCAGAATTTGCAGGAAATTGGCGCTGCCTTGCAAGAGCAATGGCGCAGAATCCCCAACCACGTGTTCACAAGCATCAGGCAGTCGATGAGGAGACGGTGTTTGGCAGTGGTGAATGCGCGGGGCGGCCACACACGATATTGAACTGAGAAATTTCGCATTTTTATTCTTGTGACTTGACATTCTGTATACCCATATTTTGGAACGGCGGTGTAGCCTAATGGAACTGATTATGGCACTGTCAGTGTATCGAGTACATCACACAAATCTCAGCAATGAAATAATAACAATTTAACCATCTTACCATCTCTTGTTCTTTTATAGTGCCCTGAAGAAAGAACGTGAAGTTTCTTTTTTGACTCAGTATAAATAGAGGATACTAAACGGCCTTCCGTGTTATACCATTTTTATTAAACGAGTTAAAGATTTGATGCTAAATCTTTCACGAGTTTAATAAAAATGGTATTTCACGGAAGCGAGTTTAGTATTCTGTTTATTACTCTCCATCATTTATTGATAGAAACTGCCTACAGTGTGATGGCTCTCAGCTTCTCACGAGTCAAACAAGGTCTAATATAATTGTGATAGAGGTATTAGCATTGTGACGTCATAACTGTATATCATTATGACGTCATACGTCTAGCGGTATTACACTAATGTAATATTGCCGTAAAAATATTACATTGCTGTATCTTCCACGGGCGAGTAATAAAGAAAAGGAAAAAAATAGTCTGTCATACAGACCCAGAAACAAATATATCCAAGAAACCCAGAAACAAAGCTGTCTTAGCGCTACGACAGTCAAAACTGCCATACTTCAACACACATGCACATGTTGTAAGCACAACCAGGCAGGTGTTAAGAGTTATCGCCCCTGCTATGTACCCGGGTCTACATGCACAAACCGGTCTTAGCGCTACGGCGGTCTTTACTGCCATACTTTACCGCAAACTTACGAAAAAGGTGCCGTTAAGAACGCTTTGTGCATGCGAACCCGGCTAACCAAGGCGGTGAACATTTGTGTTACAGTACTACTGCTCCTGGCGGCTGCGCGTGAAGACGGGTGTCATCATGTTGATCACGTGGTCCAGTGTTTCCGGCCCGTTCTACAAATGACCGAGCAGTGCGTGGAGAAGAACGAGATGCGGCTCATGGCGGGTGATGTGGAGAAAGTGATGGAGCTCTGCAGGTGTGAAGTTACCGTATTTCCCCCCTAATAAGCGTTCGGGCACATATATCTTCAACGGACTTCCAGACCCGGCGCTTTTTGCCCTTACTGAGTGTAATTACCGTAATTGTTAGTGATCTGCTTTACCCGGCGCTTATCAGGGGAAATACGGTAAACCATTCTAGCGAGGACACAGGGGTACTAGATCTGCATCAGTGTTCACCTTTAAACTGATGTACAAGAGCATGTACACACCTGGCCCCGATTTCTCGAAACAATCTTAAGTCTGAGTTTTGACTTAAGTTAGAGTTTTTACTCAAATTTGAGAAACTGCATTTCCCAGAATGAACTGAAATCGATATAAAACTCAAACAAAGTAGACAATTTGAGTTTGGTGAATAGAATACTTAAGTTGTTTGGGCTTTTTTTATTCAAAATATGCAGCTGTTTCAAATTGTCAGCCTCAGTTTGAAATTTGAGTAAAAACTTAAGTTTGTTTCGAGAAATCGGGGCCTGGTGTTTTGGGATTATATTTGAAAGAGCAACAACCACAGTAAACATTTTACCCTCGAGAGTGGGTATGGTGAACTGGGAATCGAACCCATTGTTATTGTTATTCTATATAGCGCATTGCAGCGACATAGCACATTGAGCCACCTATGCTAGTGGATGTAGCGTCTGTCCGAAAACTGGTTTGCTTAGCTGCGTTGTTCCAAAGTTTTTATCCTGTCAGTCGTTCGGTTCCGACTCGGTAAGATGTCTCTGAGTAGCAGACCATGTCATACTGCATCATCGTAATTTGATATTTCAGTGGGTAGCTAGATATGCACCTACACGTGCATCCACCTCATTAATAATAATTTCCAGCACAACTTGTCCTGGCCTCCCATGGTTGGACTAACTGTCCAATGACCTATACTTTCAACCACTGTCTGCTCCACCAGTCTTTTGTTTCATAATGAGGACATGGATGGCAAACGCCTGTGATGGTTGATTCGAATGCCAAATTCGCCATATTCTCATTCTTTGTTTTTATGTTAACCAGTATGCATTATTTAACTAAAAGAAATACATTATTTTAATTTCAGTTTATTCTTGGTTTATGGGACTTATACTGGTGTTGGTATGTTTTATTAAAGTTGTAGGGGACCGGCATCACTTTGGTCATGTGTTCCCTTTAAAACGAGGGCGTTGGGCTAGCCTAACGGTTAAAGCATTCGCTCCCGAAGACCGGGTTCGATTCCCCACATGGGTACAATGTGTTCTGGTGTCCCTCGCCGTGATATTGCCGAAACATTGCTAAAGGCGGCGTAAAACTAAACTCACTCACTCCCCTTAAAACGCACACATCGTTGTATTAGTGAGCTGTTCAAAGCAGTGTAAAACCAAAAATTATTCTTGCAAGATGTACAAACCAAAGTCATTCACTCACTCGCTGTTACAGGCATTACTTCAGCGGTCACGGATGCCTGAAAGAAAACCTAAGACGGTGTCAAGGCCTGGATTACATATCCCGCGAGAACCTGAAGATATATGTGGAGAATGTGGTGAAAAGAGGTGTGATTCGTCTGTGCGAGTACCCCGCACTTCTACAAAGTAAGTGACTACTGATTCTAACTTTGTCAAACTGAAAGATTACGCGTTAAAGGGATGTTCTAAACTGGCCCCAAGGCACCCTTGGTGGTGGATGATGCCGAACTTCGACACGTGTTCAAATCCAACCCTCTTACACTGTGCGCACCGTATTATATATACGGGGCGGTGGGGTAGCCTAGTGGTTAAAGCGTTTGCTCATCATACTGAAGACCCGGGTTCGATTCCCCACAAGGGTAAAATGTGTGAAGCCCCTTTCTGATGCCATATGCCGTGATATGGCTGGAATATTGCTAAAAATATATTCCTCATTATTTATACATGAGCGGTGGAGTAGCCTAGTGGTTAAAGCGTTGGCTCGTCACGCCGAAGGGCCGGGTTCAATTCTTCACCAGTGTACAATATGTGAAGCCCATTTCTGGTGTCCCAAGCAGTAATGTTGCTGGAATATTGCTAAAAGCGGCGTAAAACTGAACTCAGTCAGTATGTGTACATCGCTGTGGTGTGGCCAAGTACCCACAAACCGATGCTCACGCACTCATTTAAAAATAAAATGAAAAACCCAATACATTATTTGCTTATATTTTAGAGTTTGCAGAATACAGCGAATGTTTCCGTGCCACCCAGAACACCACGAGCGCGTGTCTGCATGCCAGTAGACGTCAATTCCGTGCACGTCCAGTTCCTCAACACACGGAGTCCCTGGATGAGCTATCTAGAAGACACTGTGGGTTCGTGTTTTCTGATTACTTGGAGTTCTTCAATTATATATTTCTACGGATAGATGGGCGGTGGGTAGCCTGGTGGCGCCGGGTGCTTGTGTGAAGCCCATTTCTGGTGTGTCCAACCGTGATATTGCTGGAATATTGCTAAAAACGGCGTAAAACTAAATTCACTCACTCATACTTACGGATAGTTGTTCTGTTCCTGATGCTATCACCCGTGAAGATCCGGGTTTGAATTGGTCTTCATCAACCCATGCTTGTCGTAAGAGGCGACTAACGGGATCAGGCTCGCAGACTTGGTTTACAGATGTCATCGTATCCCAATTGCATAGATCGATGCTCATGCTGTTGATCAGTGGATTGTCTGGTCCAGACTTGATTAATTACAGACCGCTGCCATATAGCTGGAAAAATGCTGAGTGCGGCGTTAAACAACATCCAAACCAAACCAAAACCACCAGCTTCACGTATCATGGTCCGTACCAGTTTCAGTTTGAAAGCTAACCAAAATTTACCTTATGATGAATATGAAACATTAGTTACTTTGGTTATGGACATATTTGTACGAACCTCCTCTCCCCATAGGACCATTGAAGACCTGATGGCCTGTGGTTACAAGCCTGTGTCGCGCACCTGTGGGCACGTGCAAGGTGTGCTGTACCTGGAAATCATGCAGAGACTGCTCTCAAAACGTGCCGTCGACGCCTGCATTGGACCTCAAGTGCGTCTTCAGTACAGTATCCATGGTTACGAGCACCTGCCATCTCTCAAGATATCGTCAGGAGCAGGATTCGCCCCCATCTCATACCAAGTGTTTCTGGGATTATTCGGCGCCTTGCTCTCTGTGACCAGCGACGTCGGGGTGGATTTCTGACCAATGTCAGCGTTGAACCCCCACATTTGGAACTTTGTGACACAGGAATAATCACGACTTGTGAAGTGACGAGTGACCCTCATTTCAACACGACATCCAGTAACCTGCTGTAACATCTGACAACACATCTCCATCAGGTCATGTAGACCATGGGCTGTTCAGGTCCTCCGTGGAATCCAGAGCGTCGAGCTACACAGTTTGGATATGACGACATGCATCAGCCGTGTCAGCAAGCCTGACTACCTAAACACGTCAGTTGCCCTTGGCGGAAGCATTCAAACAAATGAAATATAAACATTAAGATAAACAAGGGCCACGCAGGTAACAATAGAATTTTGGTTTATGGTACATCTTGTAAAATTGTTTGCATTAAAACAACACATATCGACTAATGTTGTCCTGCGTTCTTGAATATACGGTGCCATAACGCACTCTCTGCCTGGAGCTCCTTACGGTCACCCTGGCACCTATAATCCACTGCATAATGGTGCCATCACGCACTCTCCTGTCCGGAGTTCCTTCGGGCACCCTGACACCTATAATCCACTGCATATACGGTGCCATCACGTACTCTCCTGTCTGGAGTTCCTTACGTTCACCCTTGTACCTATAATCAACTGCATATACGGTGCCATAACGCACTCTCCTACCTGGAGTTCCTTACGGTCACCCTCCTGGCTGGAGTTCCTTACGGTCACCCTGGCACCTATAATCCACTGCATATATGGTGCCATAACGCACTCTCCTGTCTGGAGTTCCTTACGGTCACCCTGGCACCTATAATCCACTGCATATATGGTGCCATAACGCACTCTCCTGCCTGGAGTTCCTTACGGTCACCCTGGCACCTATAATCTACTGCATATATGGTGCCATAACGCACTCTCCTGCCTGGAGTTCCTTACGGTCACCCTGGCACCTATAATCGACTGCATATATGGTGCCATAACGCACTCTCCTGCCTGGAGTTCCTTACGGTCACCCTGGCACCTATAATCCACTGCATATATGGTGCCATAACGCACTCCCCTGCCTGGAGTTCCTTACGGTCACCCTGGCACCTATAATCCACTGCATATATGGTGCCATAACGCACTCTCCTACCTGGAGTTCCTTACGGTCACCCTGGCACCTATAATCCACTGCATATATGGTGCCATAACGCACTCTCCTGTCTGGAGTTCCTTACGGTCACCCTGGCACCTATAATCCACTGCATATATGGTGCCATCACGCACTCTCCTGTCTGGAGTTCCTTACGGTCACCCTGGCACCTATAATCCACTGCATATACGGTGCCATAACGCACTCTCCTGTCTGGAGTTCCTTACGGTCACCCTGGCACCTATAATCCACTGCATATACGGTGCCATAACGCACTCTCCTGTCTGGAGTTCCTTACGGTCACCCTGGCACCTATAATCCACTGCATATACGGTGCCATAACGCACTCTCCTGTCTGGAGTTCCTTACGGTCACCCTGGCACCTATAATCCACTGCATATATGGTGCCATAACGCACTCTCCTGTCTGGAGTTCCTTACGGTCACCCTGGCACCTATAATCCACTGCATATATGATGCCATGACGCACTCTCATGTCTGGAGTTCCTTATGGTCACCCTGGCACCTATAATCCACTGCATATACGAAGCCATAACGCACTCTCCTGTCTGGAGTTCCTTACGGTCACCCTGGCACCTATAATCCACTGCATATACGGTGCCATAACGCACTCTCCTGTCTGGAGTTCCTTACGGTCACCCTGGCACCTATAATCCACTGCATATATGGTGCCATAACGCACTCTCATGTCTGGAGTTCCTTATGGTCACCCTGGCACCTATAATCCACTGCATATATGGTGCCATAACGCACTCTCATGTCTGGAGTTCCTTATGGTCACCCTGGCACCTATAATCCACTGCATATACGGTGCCATAACGCACTCTCATGTCTGGAGTTCCTTACGGTCACCCTGGCACCTATAATCCACTGCATATATGGTGCCATAACGCACTCTCCTGTCTGGAGTTCCTTACGGTCACCCTGGCACCTATAATCCACTGCATATATGGTGCCATAACGCACTCTCATGTCTGGAGTTCCTTATGGTCACCCTGGCACCTATAATCCACTGCATATATGGTGCCATAACGCACTCTCATGTCTGGAGTTCCTTATGGTCACCCTGGCACCTATAATCCACTGCATATACGGTGCCATAACGCACTCTCCTGTCTGGAGTTCCTTATGGTCACCCTGGCACCTATAATCGACTGCATATATGGTGCCATAACGCACTCTCCTGCCTGGAGTTCCTTACGGTCACCCTGGCACCTATAATCCACTGCATATATGGTGCCATAACGCACTCTCATGTCTGGAGTTCCTTACGGTCACCCTGGCACCTATAATCCACTGCATATATGGTGCCATAACGCACTCTCCTGTCTGGAGTTCCTTACGGTCACCCTGGCACCTATAATCCACTGCATATATGGTGCCATAACGCACTCTCCTGCCTGGAGTTCCTTACGGTCACCCTGGCACCTATAATCGACTGCAGATATGGTGCCATAACGCACTCTCTTGTCTGGAGTTCCTAACGGATATCACCCTGGCACCTATAATCTACTGCATATATGGTGCCATAACGCACTCTCCTGTCTGGAGTTCCTTACGGTCACCCTTAGATTAGAATAACTATAACATGAATCTAGTTTTTTTCTAATTATTTTCTAATAACTTTTGATTCTTGTAATGAAAGCAAAATGTCTTGAACAATAAGTGATACCTTTGCAAACAGTTATGTGAATATCGCCGTTAGAGATAAAGGCCGGACTTCCCTTTGAATATTTAACATGTAGAACAATCTACAACATTGGTACTTATACTGGAGAGATGCGACACTTTAAGTGTCCTGTATCGTCTTGCAAAAGTACCTGACACGAAAACGTCAGTGCCTGTCCATTGTGAGATCGATTAGCCTCTTGGTTTCTTTGATGAATTGACGAAGATGACATTTTTCACTGATAAACATGATAATTCTTTTGATAAAGATCATCTTTCAGCTCCGGACTAAAACGTGATTATTCCAATGTTAACAAATTCACTCATGACATTCGGCGGTGGGGTAGCCTAGTTGTTAATGCATTGGCTCGTCACGCCGAAGACCCGGGTTCGAATCCCCACATGGGTACAATGTGTAAAGCCCATTTCTGGTTTCCCCCGCCGTGATGTTGCTGGAATATTGCTAAAAGCGGCGTAAAACCAAACTCAGTCAGTCAGTCACTCATGACATTCAGAACCAAAACACACTCGGTGAAACAATGTACAACATGAAACGTTTGCAAGGGTTCGTGAGTGCAAATGGCGACACACGTCCTTTCGGATCAATCGAACATACGATATTCCTCTGACGCATAATAATACAAATTTAATGTCTTCATATTATGCAGGATGTAATCAACTCACTTAATGCATTCCCTCGTGTTGTCTTACTTCATCCCTGTTCCTTGACTGGTGGATGAAGAACAGCGAACAGAACAGCTGTGAGGAGAAAACGCATGTCAGTCCAGACGAAATCGGTGCCTTGTTATCAACCTGTCTGTCTGAGTATGAATCGATGGCTGATGTCACTACACAGATCACAGTCGTCATCACAACTAGACTATTACACCTCACAGAGCTCTTTCGAGATCACAAGAAGTCCGCAAAAGCCCATTTCAAACTCCGGGATGAATATCTGGTGGAAGTGATGCATCTATTGAAGGTATTTCTGGGCACAAGAGGAAATGAGAACCAGATATGGACGCTAATAAATTGCCCCTCCTGTTTGCAACCAACCGCACCAACTACTTCCGCTGCTTGCCAGTCTCACTGCTGCAGATGAAATTGTTACCACCAGAGTTGGTGACACCATTTGAAAACGAGGACCTTGTTGCAAAGCTGCCGCTCGTAAAGTTGAAAGCTGTCGTGACGGACTTTTCCTCGAGACAATTAAAAAGAAGGTACTGAAGGTTGCGTGAGGGAGAATTGGCTGGACACTGTCATCGCTTCGTACAGTAAACCAAAGACGTATATTCATCTTTAGTGAAGTACTTCACGCAGTTTAACATTTTCGACGGAACAAATGTCTCAGTTCGACTCACAAATAAACAGCGACACCGACATGTTTAGCTATCAAGCCCCATCGTCCCACTGCTGAAGAGCCACGTTTTCACCCACCTAATCTAGTTGACAAATTTTCAGCACCACCCTTCATCCGGAAAGAGAACCGGCCGCCAACAAACTCGAACCAGCACACACATCTGTATCTCAGTGGGATAATGTGGGACGGATTAATGTGGGACAATTAAAAAGAAGGTACTGAAGGTTACGTGAGGGAGAATTAGCTGGACACTTAGAGGTTCAGCTCTGTATAAGATGCTTTCTGGTTTGTCCCTTGACTTCACAGTACTCCACAAGGTTCCAAATGTTATATGTCATGCATGATTGACACAAACAACACGCACCAATACCATGCAGGAGTAAAATCAGTGTAGAAGGTGGAATACAGATATGAAATAGATGTCATGGATGTTTGATAGATCCTCCGTTGATCCGTTTGAGCTGTCTGCAGAGTCCTCACTCATCTGGTGAACTTTGCAACCGGAGCAGTTGCACCACCACCAAATGGCGCCATCACAGCAACTAACACTGATGATCGCTTCGTATCTCCTAAAGGAGTCATTGTTAGCAAAAGGAGCCAATATGATCAAATCCGAAGGCAAGCAATGTGTTAAAAGCTATGGTACACCACTAGGGTATAACCATGGAGAGGCGACGTAACCTGCTTGCTGTGAAAGCAAACGCCGAGTTCTGTCCTTTGAAAATGCTCCAGTGCTACCAGCCAGATGGAAGAACTGGTGACAAAGTGACAGTAATCCAGATATGTGATGCCTTAGTGTGTGATAGGCATACACCAATGCAGATCAACATGGGCTATCTTCCAGAGACATGGCAGAGTGGGTGTTTTAGGACATGCATTTGGGGCGGTGGGGTAGCCTAGTGGTTAAAGCGTTGGCTCGTCACGACGAAGACCCGGGTTCGATTCCCCACGTGGGCACAATGTGTGAAGCCCATTTTTTGGTGTCCCCATCGTGATATTGCTGGAATATTGCTAAAAGCGGCGTAAACTTAAAATCAGTCAGTTAGTCAGTCAGTAGGAAATGCATTTTGCAGCTGCAGCACACTCCTGGTTAATGATGGCCAGCAGATGCACATTGTCTGGGATAAGTATATGGATGTGAGCATCAATGGTTAGCTCTACCATCAGATGTTACTCTTCAGAACCAGAACTATGGGTCACACCGAGCACATTGGCAGAGTACCACAGTGATAAAAC